CTAGAATCCCTAAACCTCTAACCCCTAAACCCTAAACCCCCTAAAACCCTAAAGCCCCTAAACCCTAAACTCTAAATCCCTAAACCGTAAACCCTAAACCGCCGCCCCCTGAACCCTCCTGTGCCCTCCTTCAGCCGCGCCTGCGCCTCGCGGCTCAACTCAGGAGTGAAGCGCTTGGCTTCAACGAGCTTCCTGAAGGATTCTACAAGGGTTCATGAAGGGTGGTTCCTTAAGGTTCTATTTTCAAAAACATAAGGGTTCCTTAAGGTTTCTATGTTCAAAAATGTAAGGGTTCCTTAACGTTTCCATTTTCAAAACTATAAGGGTTCCTTAAGGGTTCTATTTTCAACAACTATCGCAGATGTATGTGTACATTGCACATACGCAAGGATTTGAAAGAGTCCGTATGAGGTTGTGCGAGACTGTAGAGCTTCGGGAGGTTTAATGTGCGAGACTTTTTTAGGGCTTAGGGTTTAGGGTTTAGGGCTTTAGGGTTTAAGGATCGCGGTTCAGGGAATGGCAAAACGACTATCTTGGACCGGAATGCGCAGCTTGCCACTCTTGTTTGCGCTGGTGGCGAACGCGATGGGTGTGAAGATGAAAGGGGGATGGTGATGATGGTGACTACAGCGACCACAACGATGATGATGATGATGAAGAAGAAGAAGATGGTAGTGATGATGATGGCGATGGCGATGGCGATGGCGATGGCGATGGCGATGGCGATGGCGATGGCGATGATGCTGGCTCGGAGGATGGTGCTGACACTGCTTATGGAGTCAATGACGATTGCCTTGAAGATCATGATGACCGTGCAGATGGCTGATAGAAGTACTTGGAAGGGCAGGGGACTTAGTAAGTAGGTTATAAATAGAGTTATAAGTACCCTAAATGGAGTTACCCCCATTATAACCCTACTTATAGCCTACTTACTGCCCTTCCAAGTATGGGTCTGTCTTGGGGGCTCATCGCCTCGGGCTTACTTCGGATTGCGGGGCTTGGGGCTGAGGTTTGAAGCCCGAACTCCCCATCCAGAGACTCCAATACCCCTTAATTAAAGAATATACCTTAAACTATACTAGGATCCCTCATATGATTTAGGGAATATTCCTTAATTAAGGGGTATTGGAGTCTCTGAGCATCCCAACCACGTAACCAACTTCCGTGGCATCGGTAAACCGATTCTCAGAGAAACGGTGGTGATTTAGAGAATGTTTTTGTTCTGCCTGGGTCCATTATGGAGCATTTTAAACAAGTTTCTCGCTCTCGACTTTTCACCCGCAAACCCAAACCCTCAAAATTCCCTACTAAAGCCCAAACCTTAACACGTCCAAGCCCGATTTGCCAAGAGCCGCTACAGAACCTATAAGACCCTATAAATCATAAACCTCTAAAAACCCAAACACGACGACATCACCAAACCCCAAACCCCTACCCTGGGCCCCCTCAAAACCCAAAGCCCGAAATAGCTTAACTTCAAAAAAACCCTCAAACATCAAACCCTAAATCCTAGTAAAACCCTGTTAAAACGAACCCAAAACGAAAAACTCCTGAAACCATAAACAAAGACCTTGCTATCAAAACCTTACAGTTACCCTTGTTCCGAACCCGCTAAAGTAAAAGCCAGAAAGTTGGAATATGATTATCCTAAACCCTTTATGGTAAATTATAAGGTATCCTACCCTGAAACCATATCCCAACTTTCTGGAGTTCCCTTTAAAGGAACCCTCTTCGGACTGTTCAGGTCCCTACAGTGTACCACACTGAGACCGCCCACGTCGCAATGAACATCCGGGCGATCGAGGTCTGAACAGAGCACAAGACATAGAGTTAATACTTTCTGGGGTTCCCTACTATAAGCGACATAGAATTTGATAGTACTGTTACGGGGGTTCCTTTTTACAAGAAGCGTATAATGCACCCCCCAGCCCTATTCTAAGCTGATGGTGTTTTGGGCGGTTTTAGGGTTCCTTACAAAATGTATAGAAAAGCACACCCCTAAGCCCTATTCTAATTATTGAGGCCCCTATATTAAACGTTGGGCCAGTCTTAGGGGTCCCTCTGAGGGTTCCTTAGAAGGTTTAGGGTCTAGGGCTTTTGGTTTTTATGGTTGCTGCAGTTTCAGGGTCCCGTGAGGGTTCCGTAGAAGAGTTTCGAAAGGAAACTATATGATTTGGGGTCTTGGCTTTAAAGGCTTAGAGGACCCTGTTGGGTTGTGTAAAGTGTCTACTGACAACGGGTTCTGTGAGAGCTCTCTGAAGGTTCTGTGGCTCTAAAACTTGGGTGTCTGTCGAGATTAGGCTGGGGTTTGGGGGTTTGGGGGGTTCCGAGAGGTTCTGCTATACTTGGAAGGGCAGGGGACTTAGTAAGTAGGTTATAAGTAGAGTTATAAGTACCCAAATGGAGTTACCCCAATTATAATTCCCCTCGGCCCCGGCCGAAGCGGTCAGAGGTTCCTATTCGGATTCTCCTATTCCCCACCTCTTAATCCCCTCCCCAGTGACCCCACCCCCAAAATCCTGGAAACGTGTCGATGAGCCCCAAGGTCCGGCGGTGAATTTTCGCCTTCTCCAGTGGATTTTGGCTTTCTGTAGGCAGTCCCACCCAATTTTCTTCGCGTCCCCCCCCCCTCCCCCCCTCCCCCCCCTCCCATCCCCCCCACTCGCCCTTCCCTCCCGCCCCTCCTCCGCTCGCTGACAGGTGCGAGCTTTCTGGAGTTTTCGACGACACGGGACTGCAATGTAGCATCTTTATATACGTCTCAGGCTTGTTTTAGACGCCCTTTCGTTGGGATAGGCGGAGTAACGTGGTTGAAAAGGCTGTGATGCTTCCCTAATCCAAGACGCACAGCCTCAACGGCCCATACTTAAGGCATCCCGCCGCTTGCGAGAGTCTTGGTATCCAGTGTTTCGGAATGACGACACCAAAATTGGTACTGATACTACCACTACTAATACTACTCACAATCATCCTGCTTCGTGTTGCTATGAACATCATTACTTTTACTATAAGTGCGATTCCAACTGTTACTTTTTTCCTACAAGAGCTTGCTGCAGATAGTAGCCACTCGCCGCATGCGCGTACAGCCGGGCCGAGGCGGACGACGCGCAGCGTTTCAAATTATAAGCCTACTTACAACCTACTTACTAAGTCCCCTGCCCTTCCAAGTAGGGGTTAAGGTGTAAGGTTACGACTTTCGGGCTTGGGTCAGGGCTTTGAGTTCGGGGTTGTAACTCCGGCGGATGGTATACTTGGAAGGGCAGGGGACTTAGTAAGTAGGTTATAAGTAGGCTTATAATGGGGGTAACTCCATTTAGGGTACTTATAACTCTACTTATAGCCTACTTACTAAGTCCCCTGCCCTTCCAAGTAGAAGCGTACTTGGAGAATCATGGGACTCAGCAAGCAGGGTTATAAGTACCCTAAACCAGGTTCCGAGCATTCAGAAGTAGGCTTAGAAGTATAGTTGCCCTTCAAACAACTTTGGCGACTGATTCATATCTGAAAATGTAGTAGGATCCCTAATATGACTTAAGGAATATTCCTGAATCAAGGATATTGGAGTCTGGGAACCATAGTATAGGCCATATAGGCAAACGGGGAAGCAGGGAACCTACAACATCTTCCGAGACTTCGGATTGAGGCGCTTGGTTGTGGTGGCAAGCTGAAACAGGGGTTTAGGGTTTAGGGCAACATGAAAGCCCTTTTTGACCGTTTCGTCTTGTGCACCCCCCAGAACCAAACCACGAAATCCTCCCCTGGCTTTAGGTTTTAAGCTTTGGGGTTTGGGGTTTAGAGTTCAGGGTGTGAAGGGTTTTAAGGTTTTAGGCTTTAGGGTTTAGAGCCTATAGGGTTTATGAAACTTTAGGGTTTGGGTCAAGATTTAGGCTTTAAGATTCAAGGTTTAGGGTTGGTGGAAACACTGAAACCCGAAAGCTCTGGTCTAGCTAGAACTCTGGAACAGAGCTTGGTGGCTTGCAAATATGGTGTAAGGGTTTAGTAATAGGGTTTAGGGCTTAGGGCTTGCCAGCCCGTCACTGTCAACAACATGCCTGACAGCAACAATTCAGCCAAAGCCCTTACCCAGACCCCCGGGAGGATCTAGAAAGTACATCCCCTAATTTGGGGCCCTATACAACTAAGGATACTTTATAGGAGCCCCCATTAGGGGATCTACTTTTTGGATCCTCCCGGGGGTCTGGGTAAACCCTAAGCCCGAAACTGCGAAACCCCCAAACCCTGAAGTCTCCTCAGCTGGAGACCCCCAACCCTGCCCAAGAAATCCTCCACAGCCCTGAACCCTATCCATAGTCTGCATTGTAGCTAATCTTGGTTACCTTAACTTCTTGGCTCCTAAATATCAAACTCTGAACCCTAAACCCTAAACCTCCATAAACCCTACACCCGAAGCAGAGGCACCGCAGTATTCGCAGCCGTGGATGCGGTCTCCACAGCCTTGGAAAACTAGATTTCTGGGATTTCTGGGCTTAGGGTTTAGGGTTTGCAAAACACTAAACCCTGGGGGTTTGGGCTTCAGAAGTCTTCTGCCAGCTTCGACGCTTTATGGGCGCAAGTGTTGACCTATCTTTCAGAGAACCCGATTCTCGACAGCGCTGGATGCCTGAGTCAAAGAAAAGCTTGAAAAACGAACTACCGAACAGCTAAACTCGAAACCCTGTGATGAAGGCAACGCTCGCATGGATTTCTGTTTCTGTTTTCAGGCGCGCAAGCGAAACGATCTCTGGACAGACTTCGCGTCCAAGATTCTGCGGACTCGGCTGAGGGCAGAGGATCGGGAGCAACTAACCCTAACCCAGAAACCCTAAATCCTAGACCATCTAGAACCTGCAGTTTGAACAGTGATGCTCACTCCAACCTTTACACTTCACAACCCGGAAGTCTGAAACATGAAAATTGCTAACCCCACACCCTGAAACAGGAATCGCGAACACTTCGTCCTAACAGCCAACGCCGCTTCTTCCGACAGCTGCTGTGGCCAATCACATGATCTCACCCTCGGGTTTTCGGAGTAGCTCCTACGAAGCTAGGATTGAAAGCTTGTCTTTCGAGTTTAGCGCTTGGGGTGCCTGCCAACGGAGTCCTATGATCCTCTAACGAGGAGCCCAGCTTGTGATGGATAATCAGGGGGCTGAAATTGTCGAGCAGGGTTGTGAGGCGTCTTGTACTTTAGTTTACTTAGAATAGGGAACCGCAAGGAATGCAGTGAGAATGGTGCAGGCTCTGATATTTGGCCATTCCCGAAGATGATACGACGGTACAACTGCAATAAGTGGCCGAACATGCTGGTCTGGGTGCCGTAAATTAAAACGCATATTAGCAGAACTATTGCCTTGAATATGCCTCCATCGCGCCGCCCTAAGCCCAGCAGACACACAACGCGTAGTGGCAGGACTCCCTGCTATGAGTTCCTTAGAAATTCGCTCCGAAAATGCAAACGTAAACCCTTCCCAAGACAGGCCCCTGATTCGGACCCTATTATAGTACCATTATAGATCCCTCATAGTAACCCCTATAGACCCCTCTAAACGAACCCTATTCTAATTGTTAAGGTCCATATATTATAGTAACCTTGGAGCCCAGCATAGGTTTAGTGTCTAGGGCTTATAGGGAGCCTGACCCTAAAGCTCAACGTAGGGCCTTGATGATAGGAAATAGTTTTGTTTGTGTGTACTGTACTTGTACAGGCTGTATCATACAGGGACTACAAGGGCATGCTTTTGCAATCCTTCCGAGCCCTACATTGGAGAAACCTGTCTGCTTCACTGCGGCCTGCACAGTCCTAAATCCTGAAACCTAGACCATGAGTCTCAGCAACCAAACCCAAGTCGTCATGCGTCGTAACGTAGACGCTCCCCTTATTTGAACAGTGCTTTGCGGCAAGATTCCAGTCGTAATATACTGTCGTAATATACCTAACACCAAAAACTAAGGAACGCTGCAAAACATGATCGGTGATGATTCAGGCTTCTATCTCAAGCCCAAACCCCAGACCGTAACCCTGACTCCAAATACACCCTAGACACGACAACCGAATATAATCGAAAACCCGAACCCCGAAACCCCAGGCAAATCCCAGTTCGAAACCCAACCCTGGAACGAGATGCTTGCATCAGGGCTCTATGTCTATGACTCTAGAAAGGTTCCAAAAGGGTCCCACAGGCCCTGAACCCTAAAACCCTAAACCCCTAAACCCCTAAACCCTAAACCCCTAAACCCCTAAACCCCTAAACCCCCAAACCCTAAGCCCCTAAACCCTAAACCTTAGGCTGGAGATCTTCCTGTAATGGGTCTCCTTGGGCTCGGTTCTCCTGCTCCCTAAACCCGGAGCCCGAATGCCGTCTTATTTCAATTTCGGGTGTAAGGTTTAGGGTTTAGGGTTAGGGGTTAAGGAACTATGTACAGAAGTCATAATCAGGAACCCTACAAACGTAGGTCTTTTTCATAATCAGGAACCCTACAAACATAGGTCTTTTTCATAATCAGGAACCCTACAAACGTAGGTCTTTTTCATAATCAGGAACCCTACAAACGTAGGTCTTTTGCATAATCAGGAACCCCACAAACGTAGGTCTTTTTCATAATCAGGAAATCTACAAACGTAGGTCTTTTCGGCTACAGCTAGGGTTTAGGGTATTTCGGTCCTCCTGCTCCTCGTCCGTGCCACATCCTGCTTTGGGTCTGCGCGTACCTCGGCATCCCGCATGGTCAGACCCCGTACTTGGAAGGGCAGGGGACTTTGTAAGTAGGTTATAAGTAAAGTTAAAAGTACCCTAACTGGAGTTACCCCAATTATAACCCTACTTATAACCTACTTACTAAGTCCCCTGCCCCTCCAAGTAGCCCAGAGGAAACAAGTAAATAAGTTACAATACCCTCCACCCTGCTTTCTTGTTTCCGTCCTCGCTTCCTTTGTTTCTTCATCCTTTGGCTTTCTCCTTCTTCTTCTCGGCCCCACAACCCACCAAAACGCAATCGAAAAATGACATCTTACTTGCTAAAACTGGACCCTTACACATTCAGTCTGGCAGAGCAATTAGGGTGTTCAGGATAGAATTCAAGAGTTCAAAGCTTTTTCTTGCGAGTTGGGGCTGAGGGGCTTCCTCGGAGGATCATGGGACTTAGTAAGTAAAGTCATAATTACCTACTACATTGACATTGAGGCTGTAAGTAATAATTAATGACTTGTCACTGTACTATAGTGATCCTTAACCCTCAACACTCAGATGCTAGATCGCAAATCACAAAGCCCTGAACCATCAGGAAACGCCTCTCGAACCCTCACAGACAGCCAAACCTAAACAATCCGAAAACCAACACTTGAGTGTCAGCAGCCCAGCAGCGTGAAACTTGGAGGAATGCCTGTGCACGGACATTAGGGTTTAAGGAGTTGGCCTTCAGGGTTGTAAAATTTCAGACGAGTGGCTAGAAAGTCACATCACAGAGGTGTGGGTAGAAGGTTTCGGGGATTGGTTCTTAAGCTGGCGTGTTCGACGATCGAGATGTAAAATCTGGGGCATGGGATTCAGTTCGGGGTCTGCGCTTTACTTAAAGGATTCGGGAATTATGAGTAACTGCTAGATTGGGTCATAAGTACCTCGTTGTGTCCAAATGGGACCTACAGCCTACATGCAAAGTCCTCTGAACCTCCAAGCAGCATAGGCGTCGGAATAGTAGCACTTTCCCCGTAGAGCCCCTGAATGCTTATAGATGCATATACCCCAAAGAACCCTGCGCTAATTACTAAACCCCATATACGCATAAACCCTTGTAGATTCCTTAAGACTCCTAAACCCCAAGCTCTAATCCCAAAGCAGACTTACAGCAACACTGTAATAAACAAGCCTTGGAGCCTGCTCCAATTTAAAAACCCCATACTATAGAGGCCTTGATTATTAGAATAGGGCTTTGGGGCTCAATAGACTATAAGTGTAGTAGTTTAAGGAACCTCCAAGATAGTATTGGTGATTATTTAGGCCTTTTACGGTTAAGGGCTTGGGATGTAGGCAGCTTCGGATATACCGGTCTGAATACTTAGTAGCAAGAGTATGCCCAAAATTGTAACCCACAGACCCCTGCAAACCCCCCTTAACCTTAGCCGTTAGCCTAATGTAGGGGACTTAATAATTAGAAGAGGGGTTTGGGGCCCACTATACTAGAATTATAATCAGGAACCCCCAAAATAGTATAGGTAATTATTAAGGCCCATATATCAGTGTTTAGCCGTGCAGCTCGATCGCAACAAGCTGAGCAAATTGGGTTCCTTGACGCCTTCCTTGAAGGCTTGGGTTCGAGGGTTTGGGGATTTCTCTGCAAGAACTCTACCGCAAAACCCATGGATGCTGACTGAAAGCAGTTCATTGATGCCGAAGCTTAAGCAAACACTCGCTCTACAGACCCGAAACCCAGAAACAAACACGGCGGGCCTTGATGCTTCGAGCAGGGTTTTGGTGTAGAGTGTAGATTATGATGCATGTACATCAAAATAAGTTACCGTCAGAAAAAGTACAATGCTTCAATCTTCTATACCAGAAACCTATACACAACCGTATAGAAACCCTCGTAGGGATCCTTAAAGGAACCCTGAAAACAACCGAAACCTAAAACCCCCAATATACATGCCCAAACCTGAAACCCAAACCCTGAACCCCTAACCCCTAATCCCTAAACCCCTAAAACCCCAAAGGCCCTAAAGCCCTAAACCCCTAAACCCCTAAAACCCTAAAACCCCAAAGGCCCTAAAGCCCTCAAAACCCTAAAACCCCAAGATCCCTGAAGCCCTAAAGCCCTAAACCCCTAAAGCCCTAAAACCCCAAAGGCCCTAAAGCCCTAAACCCCTATACCCCTAAAACCCCAAAGGCCCTAAAGCCCTAAAAACCTTAAAACCCCAAAATCCCCGAAGCCCTAAACCCCTAAACCCTAATCCCTAAACCCCCTAAACCCCTAAAACCCCAAAATCCCTGAAGCCCTAAGCCCGGGATCGCCTGGAGCTCCTGCCCGGTGGCAGCATCGAGCGCTTCGGCCTGCGGAGCAAAGCGAACTAGACCTAAGAGGCTTTAGGGGTGTAGGGTTTTTTTTTTTTTTAATCTATGGGTTTAGGGTTTAGGGTTTAGGGGTGTAGGGTTTAGGGGTGTAGGGTTTAGGGTTTAGGGTTTAGGGGTTTAGGGGTTAGAGTTTAGGGTTTAGAGTTTAGGGTTTAGGGTTTAGGGTTTAGGGTTTAGGGTTTAGGGTTTAGGGTTTAGGGTCTAGGGGTTTGGGGTTTAGGGATGTATGGCTTAGAGTCCAGACTCTAGGGCTGAATTTAAGGTTTAACTAGACCTGAGAGTAACCGAGGAGCAAGAGTAGCCTAGGGGGTTTAGGGGCCCTTTAAAGGGTACTATACAGGTTCCTCTAAGGGCTTTAGGGGTTTGGGGCTTCAGGGCCTTTGGGGTTTTAGGGGTTTAAGGGATTAGGGTTTAGGGGTTTAGGGCTTTAGGGCCTTTGGGGTTTAGGGGTGTAGGGCTGAACGTAGGGTTTAACTAGACCTAAGAGTAACCTCGGAGTGAAAAGGGTGCCCTTTTTTGCTTGAAGGGGCTTCTAAGGGAACCTGAACCCTTAGGGAAAAAGAGCTTACGCTGGGTCCTTGTGGCCAAGGATTTTCCATTCAGGGACTCGCTCTTAGGGTTTATGGCTTCTTTAGGGTTCAGGGTGTAGGCTTTATGGCTCCTTTAGGGTTTATGGTCAAGTACACTTAGGGTTTAGGGGTTTAAGGTCTAGGGTTCAGGGTGTAGGGTTTAGGGGTCAAGGGGTTTCAGGTTTAGGCTTTTGCGGTTTTGGGCTAGGGGTTCAAGGTTTAAGGCTTCCTTAGGCTTGGGGGTTGAGAGCTTTTCGGCTAGATATCAGACTAAGAATATGTCAGGCCCCCATGTGGGTAGCTGTCAAAATTTATGGTCCCTTTTTGCGTCACTAATATAGTACGGCACCTAATATTTGAGGTACCCAAAAAGGGACCCTTATTTTGACAACTACCCATGTCAAGTCCGACGGATTTCAAGGGATTTTTGCGGAGTTCTGGTGGCTTTGTGGAGGACTTTTCGGGCTGCCCTAAACCCTAAACCCCAAATCCTAAAGCCTAAAGGCCTAAACCCCAAAATCCTAAATCCTAAATCCTAAACCCGAAAAGGTAGCACTGGAGATCCCTGAACACGAAACCCTTTCGCGTGGCCGGGAGGTTGTGGCACAAGGGTTGGGGTGTTGGGACTTCGGCACGAGGGAGAGTTGATTTCAAGTTTGATATGGGAGTTTCCGAAAATTAGGGGTACCTTATTTGGGGGGTCCCTAGAATTAGGATCCTGCTATTCAGGGTACTGTATTAGGGTCCCCTATTTTCGGAAACTCCCATATCTGAAAATCAGGGAGTTGGCCTCGGATCTCTCCCCGAAGTCCTCTGTCCTAAAACCCCTAAACCTGAAACACATACTACAGGCTGATGCAAGCACCTGCTGCGCCAGGACGCACCAGGGACAGAAAAAAGCATAACAACCTCAAGCAAGTTGCGATTCAGGGTCAAAGGCTTCGGGTTGCCTCTTGGTTTAGGGTTTAGGCTCCTCCTCCTCCTCATCCTGCTCCTCCTCCTGCAGGTGCTCCTGCTATGACTACTGAACTGACACTGCTCCTGCTACTGCTGCTCCTGCTGTCGTGAAACCCTTCAGAACCAGTGCAACACTTAAGATAACAGTGATAAAATCCCTTGCAAAACACCCTTGAAACCCTGGTCTAACCCTCTAGAGCATTTTATCAAGCCCCTGTGAGAACCAAGCCCTGTCAAACCCTACAAAAACCTTACAAACCCTCTAGAACCCTTTAGAACCCTTATAGAAACACTTGACAACAGTTTATGGACGTCCTTAACAGCTAAACTGAAACCCTTCAAAACCCATCGCAAACCCTTATTAAGCCCTAAACCCTAAACCCCTAAACCCTTTAACCCAACACCCTAAACCCTAAACCCTTTCAAAGCCTCCGAGATGCAGCTGGCCACTGGATCTGCGCGCCCGCCACCGAGCGCCGTGCGCACGGCGCTGTAGAAGTAGAGGATGGTGCAGGGCATGCAGCACGCACCTACTTTCCCAAAAGATCCAAGTATCATCATGGTATATACTTAGACCCCCAATAGACCCTATAAGTATATACCACAATGATACTTTGACCCTTTGGGTGTCTGTTTTTAGGGTTTAGGGTTTAGGGTGGAGGTTATAGGTTTGGGGTTTCGGGCAAAGGCACCTTCTTTTCTGTTTTAGTGTTCAGGGTCTAGGAGTTTGGGTTCTAGGTTTGATGTGTGGGAATTTAGGTTCTAGGTTTGGGGTTTAGGAATTCAGGTTATAGGTTTGGGGTTTAGGAATTTAGGGCAAGCAACCTGTCAGGAGTTGATGTGGATGGTGCCGGGGCAGATAAAGGGCTCCTTTTGGTTCATGTTTTCTTGAAGGGGGATTTGGGATCATTTGTTTATGAGTGTGGGTGATTCATGACCTTTTCGAAGGACTTTTCCGAGGAGCTAGAGGGTTTGGGTTGCGGGGTGTGGTCGGCAGAATGCACGAAGAAAACTGCATCTGTCATGGAAAGACTGTTGCTGCCGCATGTGTCCAAGCCTTGAGAGAGCAGTAGACTTGGAATGAGAGTTTAGGATGCCTCATTCTAATGTAAGCATCTTAGCAAATGGAATAGGGCTTGGGGGGGTATATTACAGTGTAATTAAAATACGGACCCCTGAGGGATAATGTTGGTAATTATTCAGGCGTCCATACTAACTGCATCTATCTTGCTGCTTGAAATTAGTTTTGTCTTGCTGTCCGTAGAGCTGCTACGGGCGGTAGTTCAGTGCCGGCACAGTCACAGCCATTGTTACAGTTGAATGTCACTATGGCTCTCGGCTGCTAGTTCTGCTGCTAGTCTTGCGGTTGTGGCTAGTCTCTGTGCTGTTGCTGGACCGGCAAGTTCCTAAAAACAACGCGCACCGTTGGTTGTGGCAGTACCGACTGCCTTACACAAACTTTGCCACTCGTGCTATTCTCATCCAGGACCATTTCCGAGGCACTAGCGAGAGCCCCCTGCCAGTAGTAGGAAACCATGCCTTCGGCGTGGAGGGCTTCGGCGTTCACGTTTGCGGTTCACTGATTTTAGGGCTTAAAATTTCAGGTTTAGGGTTTAGGATCTACAGTTTAGGGTTTAGGGCTTAAGATTTAGGGTTTAGTGTCTAAGGTTGAGGATTTAGGGTTTAGGGTTTAAGGTTGAGGATTTAGGGTTCAGGGTCTTGTTGTTGAGCCCTCACTCTCCCAGGCTTAGGGGCTTGGAGTGCTGAGGTTTCGGCGTTCATGTGGGTGGTTGTCAAAATCACGGTCCCTTTTTGGGTACCCTAAAGAATAGGTGCCGTACTATAGAAGGAACTCCAAGAAGGGACCCTAATTTTGACAACCACCCATCTGTGCTGTTTGATTTTCGGGGCCTGCGTGGATGATCCGCGACTTGGTAGTTGGTAAATTGAGGGAAACTGAATTATAAGGGGCCTGAACTATTCCAAAAGCGTCTTAGGGCACGATATACTATAAGTTTCGCAAGGCATGCGAAGGACAAGTAGTACATTCAGACTTCTATAAAGACTACGTTGCATTACGAGCGGACAGGCTTACACAGGGCACACATGCACTGAACTCAATAGACGACTTGGTTACACCATCTTGTGATAGATCTCTCTGTATAGATGCTCCTACTTGCTGAGCCGCTTCTGGTACTGCAGGGGTTCAGTTGAAGAGCTTACTTAAAGGGTTAACGTCTTGGGCCCATAAGCCCTAGAAGAATCCAAAATTAGTCGCCGTCTTTCAAAGACATCCGAGAAGGGGTGCCTCAGGTAACCGCAAGAATACGCACTGAAAGGCATCGGCATTTAGCACTAGCCGACCTAAACCGTGAACCCTGAACCTTCCAAATCCACCCCTACACACTGAACGTAAACCATACGTAAACCCCATATAAGCCCTGAGCTGCAAAGCCCAAACTCTAAACCCCTATACCTATATATATATATATATATATATAATGTGTATATATATATATATATATATATATAGATATACATACATATATATATATATATATATAGGGCCGTAATAATCAGAATTGGGTTTTGGGGCCCAATATACAGTAGTTACAAGAAGGAACCGCCAAAAATGGTATTGATAACCTTTAAGGCCCCTATATTTAACAGTTTTGAAGTTTGCGGTTTGGGGTTCTACTGCGATGATGGGAAGCCGAACCCGAAAACCTTACTCTTGCACCTTCGCACCCTGTCCCTAAGCCCTAAGCTATCTTTAGCGGAAATCGTTTAAAGCCCCTCAGCCCCACATCTTGACTTGTGGGGTTTTAGGGCTTTGGCTTTCAGGTACTAGCCCGGAAGCACACCCCAAACACACGCTCACCAATAGCCCGAAGGAGCCATCTATAGGCTCACCAAAGCCACAATACTTCATATAGATCACATAGATTAAGATACATACTCCAGGTCTCAAGGTACTGCTGTGTCAAATTCAAAGATAACAGCAGGAAAGAGGGACCTTGAAACACATTCTGCCGGAAAAGAAGTATCTTCATCGTCTTCGGTGTCATGTTGGATTAGATGCTTGCTTTTAGGCTTTTATTGAGGATCAGGGAAGGTCTCGGTTTCACCTCCCGCCTGTCTTCTCCAATGTGTGCGCATTCCGCGCGTGCTCGCAGTAGAAGGACAGAAAGCAGTTGGGCAGACTTACATGGCGACAGATGCACAAAGGCGAGTCCTGGCGAGATGGGTAGCTGACACGAGGCTAAAGACCAGGCCATAAACCGTTGCAAGACCCTAAACCCTGGAAAACTTTGAAGTCTTAACAACACCAACTTGTGAATTTACGGATACTGTATCCCATGTTTACTTCGCCAAAAGGCCACAGAAACAAAAAATGTTAAACTTCCCGACTGCTGCTGTAAGAACCCAAAACGTTTGAATGATTTCGTTAGCGACAAGATTCACAGCTCCGAGTTGCGCGCAACATGCAGACAGTGATAATGCATTCAGCCCTAAACTCTGAAACCTTCACCCTCGAAAATAGATCCAAAATCGTCAGCACCCTATAGAGCCCCGCGAGCCCGCAAACTCGACCAACCCAACACCCCGAACTTAAGAATCAAACTGTTGAAACGGCTTCACTTGAAAAGTGTGGAGTTTAACTGCCCCCTAATCTGTGGTTGATGGTGAGCCAGGGGGTTCTATTCAACAATACAGGAAGGACACTCAAACTACCCAAGACAAACCCCCACTGTAAATAAACTCTCCCAATGTATAGATAACTTATTGCAAGGTTTATAAGCTGCTTAGACCCTTAATATCCCCGAAACCCATCCTCCATGATCGTGGCGCTCCGTGGGTTCGCGGACGGCTGCTGCGTCAGCGGCGCATAGTGCCTCACCTTGGGGGCCCAAAAAATCAGTCAACCCTCAACCCTAGAGCCCAGAACCTCACGGTTTAGGGTTTAGGCGGTTTAGGGTTTAGGGAAACCCAAATATCCCTAAACCCTAAACCCCTATAGATCCCTTAAAAGAGCCCTTTAAAGGTACCCTATAGATCCCTTTAAAGGAACCGAAGGGAAACAGAAGCCTAAAAACAATTCTGTCCGTGCCAGAAGGGAGGTCTCACTGCGGTGTCTGACATCCTTCAAGCAAACCCTGAAGTCTAAACCCCCGAAAGGGGGTTGGGTTTAAAGACCCCTCAACCCCAAACCCTAAACCGCTAAAGCCAAAACCCTAAAACCTCAGCCCCAAAGCCTAAACCCTAAAGCCCCAAACCCTAAACCCTCAGCCCCAAACCCTAAACCCCTACAGCCAAAACCCAAAACCCTCAGCCCCAAACCCTCAACCCTAAAGCCCCAAACCCTAAACCCTAAAGCCCCAAACCCTAAACCCCTAAAGCCAAAACCCTCAACCCTCAGCCCCAAACCCCAAACCCTAAAGCCATCCAAAAGAAGTAGGGTTATAAGTAGGGTTATAATTGGGGTAACTCCATTTAGGGTACTTATAACTCTACTTATAACCTACTTACTAAGTCCCCTGCCCTTCCAAGTAGACCCTAAACCCCATAGACCCCTTTAAGGAGCCCTATAGATCCCTTTAAGGAGCCCTTTAAACCAAGCCCAAGGCTCCGTCCAAAAGAAGTAGCCCACTCTAAACCCCCTTAGGCACCAAAGCCGAAGGCTCTACTTATAACCTACTTACTAAGTCCCCTGCCCTTCCAAGTAGACCCTAAACCCTAAACCCCCTAGACCCCTTTAAGGAGCCCTATAGATCCCTTTAAGGAGCCCTTTAAACCAAGCCCAAGGCTCCGTCCAAAAGAAGTAGCCCACTCTAAACCCCCTTAGGCACCAAAGCCGAAGGCTCTACTTATAACCTACTTACTAAGTCCCCTGCCCTTCCAAGCCTCCAAAACCCCTTAATTAAGGAATATACCTTAAAATCATATTAGGGATCCTATTATCATTTAAGAGGCTCTTTGGGGTTTGGGTTTAAAGACCAAGCCCAAGGCTCCGTCCAAAAGAAGTAGCCCACGAGAAAAAGCAGCGAAAGATACGCTCGATCGGCTCGGGCCCTAGGTCCTCGTGGCTCCATTTGTATCACCTCCTGTGGGCTCAGGTCTTAGGGTTTAGGAGTTTAGGAGTTTAGGGGTTAAGGGGGGTTTGGTGTCTAGGGGCTTAGGGTTTAGGGGTTGTGGGCTCAGGTCTTAGGATTTAGGAGTTTAGGAGTTTTAGGGGTTAAGGGGGGTTTGGTGTCTAGGGGCTTAGGGTTTAGGGGTTGTGGGCTCAGGTCTTAGGGTTTAGGAGTTTAGGAGTTTAGGGGTTTAAGGTTTCGAGCTTAGGGTTTAGGGTTTAGAGTTTAGGGTTTAGAGTTTAGGGTTCAGGGTGGGCACCCAAAAAGCACCTGAACAAAAACAAGCAGGTCACGACATCCCCTCCTGATTTTACGGCTAAGGGCTTACGGTTTAGAGTCCAGAGGGACCGCTCAAATTTCACAAGCTTTTGGGTTTAGGGTTTAGGGTTTAGGGTTTAGGGGTTTAGGGTTTAGGGGTTTAGGGTTTAGGAGTTTAGGAGTTTAGGGTGCAATGGTTCGATGAGTCAAGGCTCGACAAGGGTTGTTCAAGCGTCGATAAGTGTTCAGGAACTAGGTTTAGGGCTTCGCTGCGGATTTGTGATTGAAGAGTACCAATAGGTTATGGCAGTATGCATGGGAACAAACATGTAGGGTTTGGGGTTTAGGGCCTAGGGCCTAGGGTTTAGGGCTTCGGGAAGGGCTGTGTATCAGCTCTTCCTACCGAAGCGGCAGTGTCTGAACGATTGCAGAGCCCGGACCAAGGGTTCGGCGTTTAGCATACCTGATCACTTATAGTAGAAGCCAGAAAGTTGGAACATGGCTTTAGGAGGATTAGTGCTAGGATCCCTTATACTTTACCTTAAGGGCATGAGGCCAATGATGTTCCAACTTTCTGGCTTCTACTGTAACCCTAAACCAGCCCGGGACGGTCCACGGAGTCTAGAGTCTAGGGACAGCATTGCTGGACCGATGAAATCGACATAAGCATAAATGACGAGGGCAGTGGTGGAGATGCGTCGTCCAGATGGAGTCACAACGGACGAAGCCACCGCCAACACCAAAGCAATGCCCATGTTGATGATTTCGTAGGCCCTCCAATCAAAGGAAGCATTTCTCATTCCAAGCAGCATGGTCGTCGCCAGGCCGATGCCCACCTCAGCCCACGTAATAGACACGGGTCCTGTGTTTCGCATGACTCCGTAAACTAGCGCAATGACCGCGGCGATGCTGCCGCCGAGCACCTCCGAATTGGTGGCTTTCATGGTCGCCCAGGCATAAAGGAGCACCACCATGCCAATGGTAATGCCCCAGGCTCCAAACAGCTTCCGCATCGAGCGGTTTTCGGCTACTGAAGGAACACACCTTAAACTATCAGTAGCTTCTACGGGGTTCTGTAGGGGTGTAGTAAGCCAAAAGGGAACAAACGAAAGAAACAAGGAGCAGTATGGTCATCGAACCCGTAAAAAGCCGTGAAGAGGACCCTTGCAGCAATCCTTCAAGCAACCCTTTAGGGTCCTAATTTTGCAAGGACAAAGCCCTGAACCAAAAACCCTAAAATAAACCCTAAACCCTAAACCCCTAAACCCTAAACCCCTAAACCCTAAACCCTAAACCCCTAAACCCTAAACCCCTAAACCCCAACCCCTAAACCCTAAACCCCTAAACCCTAAACCCTAAAACCCTTGTATGTTTCGGAGCCGGGGGCCTCATCATCCACGACGACAGGTTTCACGGCTCCGCGGAGCTGTACCTGTTGTGTGGAACTTCGCGCCGCGAGCCATGGTTTGGGGTTTACGGTTTAGGGACGACCGGTTTAGAGTGCTTGGGTTTAGGATTTAGGGTTTTGGATTGTCAATATCGAGGGTTTAGAGGGTCTGCTCGGGTCTAAGGACAGGATGTTGTGGTGCAGGTTCTTAGAGGTACTCCCCCATTAGGAAGACACCAAGACCTCCTCTGATCTATTGAATAACACCTTGAGCCTTAAACCATCAGGTTCTTACTATGAACCTCAATCTAGAACCTAGAGTTTATACGGACGCCTTACTATGAACCCTAACATAGAATTGATAGGGACTCCTTATTATGAACCCTAATACAGAGTCTATAGGGACTCCTTACTATGAACCCTAACATAGAACCTAAAGGGACTCGACAACAAGGTCGGCTCTGGTGGCGCATGGTACGTTGCGATTCAGAGGCCTGTTAGTCGCTGGGTTCAGGGTTTAAGGGTTTAGGGTTAAGGGTCTAGGGTTACGGGTTTAGGGTTTAGGGGCTCTGCCATAGACGTAAGGGTTCTTCAACTAAGGATTTAGGGGGTATAGGTTTTGTTTTTAGGGTTTAAGGGTTCAGGGTCTAGGGTCCAGGATTCCGCAAGGAGCCACAGGAACTTTGCAGGCTTCGGGTTTAGAAAGCACTCATCTAGGGGAACCCTAAGCAATAGTATCGGTAGTTGCTCACGCAACTATGCTAAAACCCATTATAGACCCCTTACCGGACCCTTCGAAAGAAGCCTTAAAGGAACCCGTTAAAGCAACCTGAATCCTAAACCCCAAACCGTATAAGCGACGCCGGCCTGGTTTGGGCGAACGCCTTCCGGCGCCGGCAGAACAGCCGACCATAGGGCCAGGCTGCCCCCGCCCTCCCAGGGATCACTTGCTTTCAGGTTTAGGGGTGAGGGTACTGTTCATCATAAAACTTAAACATAGACGATCATCATTGTAATACGAGGAGTTACCGTAACCAAAACAATAACTGTAAGGGTTACAAGAATAAGAACCAGAAGAGTAGCAGGAAGGATAACAGTACCAGTACCAGTGTAGTCCCCGTAGCCGCACCCGCAGGATAATCATAGTACGCCAGGAATAGGACGATGTTTCTTGTTGGCACTCTCACTGTTGCTACATAGCGGTGAGGTTGACAATGCTGATTACCACTACCATGAGCAGGAAGAGCCGAAGATAAGAAGGAAGAGCCGAAGTAAAGAAGGGGATGAGGACGACCAGGATGTTGTGATGGCTACTGTCATGTGGGGACCAAGGATACTGACAGGGAAGCCAGTGGCAAGAATTTACTAAGGCATGTTTAGGGGGGCTATCCCTGAACCCCAAAACCCCAAATTCTACCCTCAATCTTAAACCGTTGCTCTAGAATCCGGGCACGACGTGTGGCTCAGAGCTTTGGAAGGGAGGGCGTCTGGGGTTCCTAAGGCTTAGGGTTTGGGGTTTAGGGTCCAGGAGTTGGGGCGTAGCCAGCCTCCGCCCTACTTGTACGTTGCGAAATGACATAGGAGCCCTCCCCTATTTCACGGCATAGATCTGGGCTATGACTCTGCACTTCTAGGGCTTTGGATCCTGGACACAGATCCCCTAAACCTGAAACCCAATAACGCTACAGCCATAAACCCCAAACCTTCAACCCCAAAACCACAAAGCCCCAACACCACAAGTCAAAAAGGCACAGCTCCCTACAACCCTGGAAACCCTTAACCTTACTACCGCGAACCCCAACAACCCTGCAACCCCCAAAGCTCCCACATTGCATTCACAAACCCTAAAAACCCTACACCCCTGAAGCCCTAAAACCCCTAACAACCTAAAGCCCAAGTGCCCAAAGCCCGAGCCCGATAGCCTTCTCAAGCACAAGCAGAAGCAAGAATGGTACCTTGCTTGAAGGATCAAGGAACTTTGTTAAGTGGGTTTAGGGTTTAGGGAACCTTCTGAGCAGGCTTTAGATCTCCAAATTTATAGCCTCTGTTCCTACTGAAAGGATCATGGGAATAGCTAAACTTATTATGAGGGTAGCTAACTATATTTATAGTTACTTATCACCCCAACTAAGGTGCCTCTAATTAAGGTGCCTCTAACCGCACTTCCCAAGTCCCATGATCCTCCGAGTAAGCCCCGCGACACGTTCAGTGCAGACCCCAGAACCGGGAGCAGTTTGAGTGCGCCTTCGGAATTTGTTGGTGGGAGGGTGCTTGGAAGGGCAGGGGACTTAGTAAGTAGGTTATAAGTAGAGTTATAAGTGCCCTAAATGGAGTTACCCCAATTATAGCCCTACTTATTACCTACTTACTAAGTCCCCTGCCCTTCCAAGTGGGCTTGGGGGTTTCAGGGTTCGAGTGGTTTTGTGGCTTTGTGGCTTAGCGTTTTCGGCTCTCGGGGCCTACATTTTCGAACGATCGATATCTCTACCTTTTACCTATCCAGCCACATCTCTATCTGTGTGTATATATATATATATAGAGGGAGAGAGAGAGAGAGAGAGAGAGAGAGAGAGAGAGAGAGAGAGAGAGAGAGAGAGAGAGAGAGCAGGCAGAAACAAGTGCTTCGAATGATCTTATTGAGATACAAAGGTTCTGGGCTTCAGGGACTTCGGGGTTTAGGGCAGTAATGGTTTAGGGAACAAATTCGGGGTCACTTAGCGTTTGGGGTTCAAGGTCGGGGAGGTTCGTCGGGTTGCTGAACAGATTACCGTGTTAGACGTTTGGGCCTACGGCTCGCATAAATGGAAATACATGTACCTGCGAATCCGAATCCGCCGCAACAGAACCTGATGTAGAGGTCTGTATAATTAATCAGTAGTAGTAATAGTAGTCGTCGTCGTAGTCGTCGTCGTAGCAGTCGTAGTAGTAGTCGTAGTAGTCGTCGTAGCAGCAACGCTGCCGTGTTTTCCTCGACAAACAAGTCTCATGGGTTCACGAGCTTACTCATGGCCACGGCGGAGAAAGACCCTGTCAAAGGCCCAGAGTCACCGACAAATCACAAACAGACCAAGCAACGACCACGCCCAAACACAGTGGCCTTCATGATTAGAACAGGGTTTGCAGATATACCATGGTATAATCATATTCAGGAATATCAAGGAATAGCATTGGTGACTATTCAGGCCCGTATTAGAGTTTCGGGACAGCGCAGCGATAAGTGGGCTTGTACAGCTTATACATATACACCGTACCCGAAACCCTAAACCCCTGAACCCTAAATCCTCAACCCCAAACCCTGAACCCCAAACCCTGAACCTAAACCCTAAACCTCAAACCCACCTACCCGGAAGCAACCCCAACATCACAGCCACCTGTCTTCCCCGCTAAAGAAGCCCCCAAACCGTAAACGGTTGATGGTTGAGGCTTTGGGGGTTTCGGGGTGTTATGGGCTTTAGGGATTTAAGGGTTTTAGGGGTTTAGTGGTGTTAGGGGACTCTGGGATTTCGGGGTGTTAGGTTTTAAGGGGTTAGGGCTCAGGGGCTTGGGCTTGAAACTCGACACTTACACCCTAAACCATGAAACCTCAGAGCGTCATGTCACACAAGGAATTGGGTTCCTTTAAAAGGATTTCCTCGGGTTCCTTTGAAGGAGCTATGTACAGGGGCCTTAATAAGTAGAATAGGGTTTTGGAACCGATTATACTGTATATTTGTAGTCAGGAAACCCCCAAAAGAAGTATTGGCACTTATCTAGGCCCGTATAGTGCACAACTCAACAAATCCGTCAAGAACCATGTCTTGACCCTCTAGAAATTGAAACCCTTTTAGCTTATAGGACCCTATAGAGACCTCATCTACGCCCTACAGAGCCCTTACACCCCGAGCCGAACTCAACACCCACCCAGTCGCGATCGTCAGAGCCACCAGCGGTCGGATCCAGCTCACTCCAAACACCATGTTTGCGGCTTCGGATTTCGGCTAGGGGTTAGGGGTTTGGGTTTTGGGTCCAGTGTGATGGGCTTAGGGAAAGACACGGGGTAGGGCAACTCAGTTTTTATGCTTAGTTCAAGACAAAGCTTAGAGTTCAGGGAAGTTAGGGATTGGGGTCGAGGGTTCAGGGCTTCCAGATTTGGGGTGCTGGGGACTTGGGAGGAGTTCGGGGCTTGGGTTTAGGGCTTAGGGCTTAGGATTTTAGGGTTTACCCTAAGGCTCCATGCACCCATATAGTAGGTACTTAGGCCTTAAAGGGGTCCCTATATGGCTACTTTAAGGCCTAAGTACCTGCTATATGGGTACATGGAGCCTTTGGGTTAGGGTTTAGAGCTTCGGGTTCAGTGCGTGGGGTTTGGGGTTTACTGGGTTCAGGGATTGAGTGCAGAGCTGGTCTCTTGGCTGGCTGGGCCCTCTTAACTCTTGAACTCAGAAGCATTAATATACGGGCCCAGATATTAACCCATACTATTTTGGTGGTTCCTTATCATAATTAGAGTTTCACGTGCCCCAAAACCCTATTCTAATTATCGAGGCCCCTATAGTAGCCAATATAACCCAAAGTCTGGGGCAGGGTGCCGGTCTCTGTTGGAACCACTTTAGGGCTTACGGGGAAGGTTTAGGATGCAGGGTTCAGGGCTTAGGGTTTAGGGGCTTTGAAGTCTATGGTTCAACTGAAAAGTTTAGGGGGCAACTAGAGGTTTTAAGTTTGGGGCAGGTCTTCTGCAAGACCGCGGCGATAAGCTTCCCCGTGCACAACTCCGGTTCATCCATTGAGCCTGAGCGGCCTGAACATCTTGAACGGAGCGGAGTGGCGAGTCAGGGTTTAGCGTAGTAGGGTTCATGATTTGAATAGGGCTTTTGTGGCAAGTACGGTATATTGTTACACCGGGGCTACGAGAGGATGCCCTGAACCCCAAACCCTAAACCCTGCAAACCCTGCAAACCCTGCAAACAAGAGGGGTAAGGAGACGCCTTAAGCTCTACTTAAGGCTTCCTTTCGGTGCTTCTTTAGAAGGTCAGACGTCCTTGAAAAAGAAGCCTCGACCCACTCCACGCCACTGCGCTCTGGCGGATCGCGCCGGTTGTTCCGAGAAGCGCCAGAAGGGGTTCGCCGTTCCAGAGAACTGCATGCCGTCAGGATCTCGACCTTCGACGTAAACGTGAATTCCACGCACACGGTCACTCCAATAGAAGAGTGCCACCGTGGAAGCTCAGCCTTGAGCTGGTGGACTTCCTTGCGCAGCTCGCGAACTTCCTCCAGAAGTTCGCGCTGCAATGCGTACATCACGCCGCTGCCCTTCCGGGGTGTCGGTCCGCCAACCAGCTGTTCATGCGGGAAAACATGCTATCGACCTCTCCCTTTCCATGATTTTCAGCAAATAAGTCATAGCTGAGAACCATTCCTTGGCCATGTAGGCGGCAACATCATACGACCGGAAATGCGGTCCCACGTCGCACCAAAGCGTGATGCGACCTGCATCGGCGATGCCGCTCTCAGCTGGGCTTTCACATCGTCCAGGAGCATGGTTGTCATCAAGCTTGTGTTCTCGATGATGGTCGTAAGGTAAGGGATGCTCTGTTGATGCACAACCAAAAAACCTTCTTCATCGGTCTCAAGATAAGTAACGCTCCACGGTACAAGTCCGGAACACTCAACCCCAAACCCCAAGCAGGTCGGAGCACGAGAAATGCGGGATAAGTTGGGGGTTTGGGGCTTAGGGTTCACAGTGGAGCTTAGGGTTTAGGGTTTAGGGCAGTTCGAGGTTGAAGGATTCTAGCACTCTAGGGTCCTAAGCCGAAATCCCAAGCTGTAAATTTACCCTAAACACTGAGCTTGCCCTAAACCCTAAAGCTAAACCCTAAACTTGCCCTAAACCCTAAAATTACCCTAAAGCCTGAACTCAGGGTCTTACGGTTTCGGGTTAAGGTCTTCGCCGTTTTGGGGCGTGGGTGGGGGCTCGTTGGCCTCTGATTTTTCGGAGTTGGGCTCAATCGGAACCAAGGATGTTGGCTTAGGGGATCGGGTTTAAGGTTTAGGTTTAGGCGCAAGCGATGAAGGTTTAGGGTCTAGGGTTTAAGGTTTAAGGTTTAGTGTCAGGGCTTGGGGTTTAGGAAGTAGGGACCCTCAGAAACCTACCTGCTGGTGGTTCCTGAATCTTCTTTCCGTATGTAACTCTGAAAACGAGGTTCTTTTGGGTTCAGGTAGACATTGAACGTGTGGGAACGTGAGGCTTCGGGCTAAAAGCCTCCAGGGCTTCACTGGGCGTCGGGTTTCGGACGGGCCAAAGGGTACGAAGAAGCAGAAGCGGACGAGGAATTCGAGGAGTTATAGGATCCTTAAGGGGGGGTGGTTCAAGGGGGGAGGGTACTAGGGAGCTTTGGGGAACCTTAGGGAAGCTTAGGGAGTATTGGGGAATAATGGGGATTACTAGGTTACCTACCCCCCTTGGACCACCCCCCCTTAAGGACATCCTAAAGGAGGCATGGCAATTGCAGTTGACAAGAACCTGAATACAAAGAAACAGCTCAGGCTCGGGGATTCAAGGACTCTTTTGTGTAGGGCTTAGGGTGTAGGGCTTTAGGGTTTGCTAGCAGTGAGTATAACTAGCGAGAACCCCTCACCCGAAATGAGCGGCCCCGCATATAACTAAAGCCAGTAAGCCCTCAATATGCTCAGGGCTCATGGGTTTTTAGGGTATCAGCTGCAGACAAGATCACTAACCTCTAAGCTCTAAGAACCCAAACACCAAACTTCTAACCTTGAACCTAAACCCTAAACCCTGAAACCCAACAAACAGTACAGCTGCAAAGGTGGGATGAAGCTTGGTGGGATGATCCGTATTTAAACAAAGAGCCCATCCATAACGGATCGTCTAACCGACCTTTGAGCTCCTCCCTAAACCCTAAGCCCTAAATAGCCCTAAACCTTGTAAGTAAAGCCTAAACTCTAAACCCCAAATCCTAAACCCCAACCCCTAAACCCGAAGCCCTGAATAATCCTAAACCCTAAAAGCACAGCCTAAACACTAAACCCTTAACCCCAAATCCTAAACCCCAACCCCTGAACCCTAAACCCTAGACCCCAAATAACCCTCAACCCTGGCAGTGCAGCCCAAACCCTGAACCCCAAACCCTAACCCCTAAACCCTAAAACCCTGAGCCTCCGTAGAACCCTACTACAGATTTTTTATAGACCCCCGGTAAGGATTCCCCCTAAACCCCAAACCCTTAAGCTCAGGCAGCGACCTTCACCGCCGCCAGCGTCTCGTCGAGGGGAAGTTCCTCGCCCAGGAGCTGTGGTAGATATTCTGCGAATTTGATTTGCGAATTCTTCCGACTGCGAAACTGTATCTAGGACTTGAGGACTCAGGGCTTAAAGTCAGAAGGCTTAATTACAGTTGTAGACCTTCAGGGCTCAGGGCTTTGCAGCAGTAGCAGCACCACCACCACCACCAACAACAACAACAGCCGAGCAAGCAACCAACCAACCAACCAAGAACCAAGCAACCAACACACCAGCCACGACCGCAAAGAGGTGAAGCAGCAGCAGCTTGAGCATGTTCATCATCATCATCATCGTCTACATCATCACCACCATCATCATCACCACCATCGCCATCATAATACTGTAAATGTCGTTCAGCGCCGTAACCACAGCGAAGAGTACTTGTTGATTAGGACAGCCCCAATAAGAGGCGCCTACACACCAAGTACAGGCCACTTTGCAAGTCCCCGTAATCCGGAAAAGTTTATGATAATCAAACCCGAGAAACCACTTAGCAAGTCCCCCCCCCTGAAAAACTTAGGAATATCACACCCTATAAACCCTGACAACAGCCCTATAAACCCCGAGTTAAGCCCCCACACCTCGACGCCCATCAGGAAGGGGCCCTCAGCATCTGCTGCCTGACAGAACAACTTTCAACTCACACTACGGTTGATGATATAGATCCTGCATTACCCTTAATAAGGACTATCCCATAATTCCTCTAGTTTAGGGTCCTTGAGGTAATGCAGGATAATATCATCAACCGTACCAAGTGCCTCGTAACTTCAGCATTTCTTGGGTTTAGGGTTTAGGGTCAAGGGGGTTTGGGGGGGCTATGTGGGAATGCAGAGATTGAGACTCAAAAAAAACGAGGTCACTAGTGTGGGAGCTACGTTCGGTGCTTTGGCATGCCTAAAAAATCAAATCAGGTACTTAGGCATGCCTAAAAAAACAAATCAGGTACGTTCGCGCATTGCGGCCTGAGGCCCTAAAGCTCCAACTCAAGCCTCTGAGTTTCAGGGGCCAGGGGACAGCTTGGGTTTTGTTCCCGGACTTCGGGTTGAGGGTAGTTCAGGGTTTAGCGGTTTGGGGATTAGGGTTTAGGGATTAGGGTTTAGGGTTTAGGGATCAGGGATCAGGGTTTAGGGTTTCGGAATTACGGGTTAGGGTTTAGGGATTCGGGTATAGGGTCTCGGGATTTCGTCTGGCTTCCATGGCAAAGGCGATACTGGACAACAACGCTTGCAGCTCTAAAACAGCATGCACTTAAGCAGAGAGCCTCAGCAAACTCTCCAAATATGCCACAATTCTAGACCCAGGATGAGCTCAACCCTAAACCCTAAACCCCAAGCATCCCAAACCCAAACCCCCCTACCCTGCCCTACCCTACCCTACCATACCCCTACCCTACCCTACCCTACCCTACGCTACCCTACTCTACCCCACCCTTCCCTACTCTACCCTACCCTGTGTCGCCTTCGCGACAGTCTCGGAAACTGTTTTCAGCTTCTCTTCGGCCTCTTTCACTAAGACCTGCCGGGGGTTTTTTGGGGTTGGGGTTTTGGGTTTAGGGTTGAGGGTTTCGGTGTTTTTTTAAGAGAAAACTCAGCAAAGCTGTACTGCCCAGGAAACTATGATCTACGACACATCTTAGCCGGTCGGTTTCGGGGTTTAGGGTTTAGGGGTTTAGAGTTTA